AGCATATATGTATGCTTTTCCTGGTGCCTGTGAACATGAGTACAGGTTCCTGAGGATGTCAGAGGTGTCCTACCCTTCTAGGGCTGGAGTTGATTGCTTGTGAGCCACACCAACCACTGTGGGTATTTGGAAATGACCTCTGCAAGAGAAGCACATACTCTTGAATTCTGAGATTTCTCTCCAGCCCCATCCACATATTCCTAACGCTTCCTTCTTTGACAAAAATAAAGCAATAAAAGATATCATTTAACTCACTCAAAGTAGTTTAAATCAGTATTTATATGTGTTGGCTAGTTTACATCAGCATTTATATGTGTTGGTGAGTTTTATCTCAACTTGATACAAACTAGAGTCAGTAGGGAGGAGGGAGCCTCAATTGAGAGAAAAAAAACCTCCATAAGATTAGGCTTTAGGCAAACCTATAAGGCATTTACTTACGTAATTAGAGACCTATGTAAGAGTGCCCAGTCCATTGTGGGTGGGGCCACTCCTGGGCAGGTGGTCCTGGATTCTATATGAGCAAGCCATGGAGAGTAAGCCAGTAAGTAGCACCCCCTCCATGGCCTCTGCAACAGCTCCTGCCCTGTCTGATTTCCTGTCCTGGATCCTTCCATGATTATCTACAATGTGGAAGTGTAAGCCAAGCAAACCCTCTTCTCCCCAAGTTTCTTTGGTCATTGTGTTTCAGTACAGCAATAGGAGCCCTAACTAAGACGTTATCCAGTTGAATTCTATGGGGTCTGGAAAGTTAGCAAGCGTGAGCAGCGAGCAGTTTATACTCTGAGCCATTTCCCCAGCACTCTTTAGGCTTTGAAGCTGTTTCTTTAGGTTTTAATCCATTCCTTTATTCAAGCCTCTGATCTCTAAGCATTCACTTCATGGTTTCCCATTTCCTTGATTTCTTTTGCTTCCCCACGCTCCTGTCACACTCTCATTTGGTAGCATTGGGGCTAGTCTTTCTTTTGGCACTGGGGACCAAAGCCAAGGTCCCATGCATGCCAAGCATACGCGCAGCCATGCGGACCCACCCCCTACTACTGAGGAAATATTTTGAAAGCCTAAAGCGTGTGTCCTACCCACAATGATTCTGTTGTAATTGGTCTGGAATACAGCCTGGGTGATTGTGTCTGAGATTCCAGTGTGCAGCCAAAATAGAAGCACTGCATTATTCCCTTTTTGTGGAGGATGAAGCCGACTTAGAGAGTGCATGTGTCCTGCTATGCATGGTGGTAGAACCAGACAACGGACTCAGGTCTAGTCTAAAGTTAAAAGCCTCCTTACTTTCTAATTTCAGGATGAAATATTTGAGAAGTATCATTTTGTGTCTAAAATATCACCCAAAATATATTTTTAAAAGATTTATTTATTATGTACACAGTGTTCAGCCTCCATGTGTCCCTGCAGGCCAGAAGAGGGCACCAGATCTCATTACAGATGGTTGTGAGCCACCATGTGGTTGCTGGGAATTGAACTCAGCACCTCTGGAAGAGCAGTCAGTGCTCTTAACCTCTGAGCCATCTCTCCAGCCCAGTCAAAAATATTTTTATGTGTGTGTGAAAATAAAACCATGTTCTTGTTTGCCTTTTTGGCAAAGGGGATGTGTGATATTTTATGATATTTCATTCAGCCTTTTAGACTTAATGAAAGTAATTTAATTTTGAATGAAGACAAAATGCCATTTCTAAACTCCTGACATCTGATTGAAGTGGCCTTCATGTGTCACGAATACTTACCAGCAACTCAGGATACCATGGTTAAAGCAGCTTATTGCTGTGGCTGGGGTGAAGGAGACCAGTACTATACTATACTGGTAAGCACTATAAGGCTAAGCACTTTTTGTTTTCAACAGTATAACTCTGGTTGTCCTGAAACTTGCTTTACAGACAGGCTGACCTTGAACTCACTGAGATCTTCCTCCCTCTGCCTTGAGTGCTGGGATAAAGGCAGGCATCACCACTGCCTGGCTTTACTGAGCACTCTTAACCCATGTTGTTCTCTAGGCATTTGGGAATTACCAGCTCAGCTGACGTGTGGAGAGTGGAAGAACAAGATTGTCTACTGCGGTGTGACAGATTATCCCCAAACCAGAACGTGTTTTACGACACCTCTTGATTTTGAGCTTAGTTTGGTGAATTCGCAGTTTAAGTGACATCACGTGAGACTTCTTAGGGCCTTCAGCCAGAGGTCGGGCTGCTCTGGAGAATCAAATACAGGTCTCCCATGTCTGGATAATGTCAGGGAGAGATGGAAGGTAAGACCCTGTTAAGACTGTCCACCAGACGCGGCACCGACATGTGGCCTCTCCAGCACACTGGTCTAGGGTATTAAGATTTCCTTTTCTTTCTTCTTTTTAAGGCTATGTGGTATAGCATGTCAATTTCTTGTATTTCTTTTATTTGTGTTACAAAACGTGCTTTACATAAAATTTGCTGTTGTAGCCACCTTTAGGTTTCAGTTTGGTGGCATTAATTACACTGACAGTTACTCAAACATCTACTTCAAAACTTGTTCATTTTCCATACAGAAATTCTGCAACCTGTCTTAGTGATTTTTCTATTTATTGATGTAAAGAGACAACATGACCAAAGCAGTTTATAAAAGAAATTATTTAGAGGTTTTTAGAATTATTTTACTTTTTAGAAGAATTTAGCGTTTCAGAAGGTGAGTGCATGGCCTTCTGAGCACATACGTGCACCACACGCATGCAGGAGCCCCTGGAGGTCAGAAGACAGGAGAGGAATTGGAGTTGTAGATGGTTGTGGGCAGATATGTGGGTGCTGGGAATTGGGTCCTCGGCGAGAGCAACACGTGCTCTTAACTACCGAACCGTCTCTCCATCTCCCCAGACTAGGTCTTAAGCATCTTCTTAAAAAGTTCAGATTGCCTGAGAGAACGAGCAAAGAGAAGCTTATGTCAGTGAATAAGGGGTAACTACTGAGTAGAAAACGGGGTGGGGGTGGGGAGGTGGCGATTCCTCATGGTTTTCTTATCCAGAACCATCCACTTCATAGAGTTAATGCTTCATAAACACTCAAAAGTTCTTTTCAAAATACACGAAACACCCTCTCTTCCTGTCTTTCAAAGAACGAAACAAACAAAAAACCTCCCAAAATGTATTAAGCCTGCGACACAAGCCAGTAGGCAGCAAAATGCTGTGTTAATTTTGGAAGTCTCCCATACGTCATCCTAACACAAAAGAACGTGTGCTGACGGTTCTCTCGGCACAGCCCGTGTTGGCTGAGCACTGGATGTCAGAGTACCTTTCTGGCTTAATTGTGCATTTCCTTGCTTCCTTTGGTTCCTGTCTGTCAAAACAAAAACATTTTTATGCTGGCGCATATGAATATAAAAATAGTTAACGATGGGACAATTTCATATGCTGGAGGTACTTTTGTTTCTACTCCAAGTTTTGCCGTTCTGGGCATCACAGCAGGACCTCGCACACACTAGGCGAACTCTCTGCTGTTGACCTACACCAATAGGTCTGAAATACTTTAAAAAATCCAAACAAAGCATACACATATGCTCTCAAAATTATCAGTGAGATTTTCCATTATTCTGGATGATAATTCACTTTTCAAGTTAGATTCCTAGAAAAAAGGCTTTAATGTGGGCATTCAAGCCATGTATAATGTGCCTGTCATTTGTTGAAGTGGATGTAAAAATAGAGGGAAGGAACGAGCGCTGAAGAAATGTGCGAAGTTGCACTGAGAACATTAAAGTGTATCATCTGCTCACCATGGAGAAATCTAGGAAGACACTGTATGTTTGCTAGATCAACAAAACAGCCTATATTTACGGCAGAGCATTTTCCCTCGTATAAAATATCTAAGTAACTGTGCTTCAATAATCTGAAATTACTTAAGGTACTAAGTTTGTGGAATCAGAATCTTGAAAAGATGTCTAAATGTTTGATTATATACAAAGATTTTATTAGGAAAACCTGAGAGAACGGATACAGTTGCTCATCCTTGAGGTCAGTGTTAGCATTGGTACCCTTGAGAATGCGGACAAACAGCTGTCCTTATAAGTCCTAATGGACAAAGGCCAGCTTTCTTCACAGGTGCTCTTGTTTCTGCGTTCAACATGACAGAAAGAATTTAAGAATTTGAGGATGGTGGTATTATTAATTTAACATTTGGAGTGGCAAAAAAATGCCCACACATACGGAACTTTCAGTTTCGGGTCCTACACATCAAAATAATAGAACATAACAAGATGACTTTAATATTATGAATAAATCAAACATAACTGTATTGCTCTATGATTCAGAAGTTCTCCCTCTCCCTCCCCTCTTCCCTTTTGCTACAGGATAACAATAACAATAACTGTGATTATTCCCTTCCTCGCTCACTCCCTTCCTTCCTTTGGAGACAGGCTCTCACTCTGTTCCCTGTCACTCAAGGCTGACCTCCAATTCTCTGCAGCCCTCCTCTTGCTTCAGCCTCCCAAGTGCTGGGATTATAGGCCTGAGCCTCCAGAGGTCTATAAACTGAGGGGCCCCATCTGGGAACATAAATGATCATTGTTTGTGAGTATAAAGAATTCTGGTTATTGTCACACTGCATTGGGGGAAAAACCCTGTAGGTAACTGAGGAGCTGGGAGCAGGAGAGGTGGGCCCTCTCCCCAGGAAGAGCACACCAGCTGGTTGTATAGTGTCAATGCCCAGCCCTGAAAACACATATTCAAGTAACATACAGACTGAGCAGGCTATATTTAGGACTATATATGTATATACATGTATCCATGAAATTAGTAATTAATCAAAAAGATGTACTAGATTTGGAGGCGAGCAGGGAGGGGTCTATGGAAGGATTTGAAGGGAGGAAAAGGAAAGGAGAAATGATGTAATTATAATAGGATCTCAAAAATAAAAAGAATTCTGGTTATTTGGTTCTCATTAGACAGATGCTTATAGCGTTTGCCTCAATTCTACTTTGGATTTCATATATTTGCAGTAACTCCAGTGTAATTATTCAGATCTGACTTTTTTATTTTTTTAAATATGGAACGGTTCACAAATTTGCATGTCATCTTTGCACAGAGGCTACGTTAATCTTCTCTGTATCGCTCCAATTTTAGTATGTGTGCTACTGAAGCAAGCCTCGGGACTCTTAGTGATCTGGCGTGACCACTTTTTCACTAGCTATTTTTTTCAACACACACAAAGATGCAAATCAAAAATTTCATTATCTGGGTATGGTGGTGCACACCTTTGACCCATTGCTATGGAGGCAGAACCAGACAAAGTTCTTTAAGCTTGAGGCCAGCCTCACCTACACAGTGAGTTCCAAGTCAGTCAAAGTTACATAATTGCAATAAATTTTACCCTACTTATTTTACTTCTTATTTGATATGCTGTATTAATATCTAATATTATAACATTAAATAGAATACTTAATAATGCTACATGTATTAACTCAAGTAAAATTTCTCTGTCTAATATGCATATATATATATATGTATGTTTATTTCTATCTCTCTATCTGGCTTGGTGTCTGATAAATCAAGGTAAAATTAGATGAGGGGAGATATCCTTTTGAATGCCTTAATTTTTAAATATATATATATATATATATATGTATTACAGTTTCAAACAGTAAAGGCAAATAATTAACATTTTATTAGACTTGAATGGAGGAAGTAGCATTGTATTAATTTCACTAAGTCAAGATGGTTTATCTAGGAAAGCGTCTGGCAGGTCCTGAATTAGAACTTAGTCAAGTGTCATTGCTTTACACTGACGCTACTGTTTGACCTTCAGCTACTATTTGTACCTAAAAGAGATTACTGTAAGAAACATCCATCTTAAAAGAATATTATGACCAAGATTAGAGAATCCTAAACAAGCCCCTTAATGTTTTGAAAGGAAGTAACATAAGAAAAAATATTATACTATGTTTTAAAAAACGTAGTAAGAAGCCAGCTTCTTTGTGGTCTTTTGGAAGGAACTGACAGGCCTTCATCGTAATATGTAGAGATCAGGAATGTGCCTGCAGGGGCATTTTTTTCCAGCTGTCCTAATAAACCCACATATATTCATATATATTTTAGTCATAGAAAGACACAGGACACTATATTTTGTTGACTTTATCTTAAAATTCCTTAGGACAAAATGTAGAACCAATAATCTGGTGTTTCATTGGAATTATGAGAACAAATGGTTTTGTCTTCATTCTTTTTTAACTTAGGTTTGAACCCCAGGCCTTGTAACTGACAGGTGACCACTCTACCACCAAGCTACAGCCCCTGAGAACAAAAGGCGTTAAGAGTCTGATTTTCATATTAGGAGTTGAGATTTGGAAACTGACAACAGCTCATCAATTGTCTGAATTGGTTGCCAGGCAGCCTGACCTATGGCAAATTTTATAATTCTCATTTAATTCTATGTCTTAACTTACTAGCGACTTTTAATAAAAAATATTACAGACACCAATGGCATGAACTTGCAAGATGGCGCATCTTCTGAGAGTCTCGCTTGCTTCTGACAGCAGTTGACTGTGTGTTCACACTCATACATTTTTACTGAGGTATTAGTGGGTGCAAAACCCGAGTTATCTTCAGTCAATCCACGCGAAACTTTTACAACGTAAGCATTATTATTTCCACAAGGAAACAGACTGAAAGAAGTGAAATCTTCCCAAGAAACTGTTCATAAATTCAGCTGTGGGATTAAGTCAGGTCCGGCAGGCTCTACAATAGAGCTGTTTCTGGTGTATACCACTGTGGAGACAGTGGACTATGATAAATAGAACTTATAAAAAACTAGAGGAAAGGATTTTGAGTGTTTTTACCATAAGTAATGATTGTGTGGGGGCTGGAGAGATGGCTCAGAGGTTAAGAGCACTGACTGTCCTTCCAGAGGACCCAGGTTCAATTCCTAGCACCTATATGGCAGTTCACAACTGTCTGTAACTTCAGTTTCAGAAGATCTGACATCCTCACACAGACATATGTATAGACAAAACACTATTGCACATGAAATAAAAATAAATAAGTTATTAAAAATAATAAATGGCCAGGCAATAGTGGTGTATGCCTTTAATCCTAGCACTCAGGAGGCAGAGACAGACAAATCTCTGTGAGTTCAAGGCCAGCTCTGGTCTACAGAGCGAGGCTCCAAAGCTTCAGAGAAACCCTGTCTCAAAACAACAACAACAGCAACAACAAAATATTTATTTGAGAAGAGAGATATGTTCACTTGGATTTACAAATTACACACCATAGACAAGTATTGAATCATATGATACTTCATAGATGTTTATAGATTGTATGTTTTTTATGTACAGATTGAAAATAAATAAAATTAAAAAATAAAAGCAATTGAATTTTTTTGGGGGTGTTGAGGTTCTCAAGGCTGTATGAAAGCCATAGGTATAGAATTTATAAGTGGAAATGGAAAGAACATAGACCCCTTATCTTATCGTCAAGTCTGTGGCCCAGAACATTGCTCTGGCTTCTTGGGAAGTTGTTACAGTCTGGTGTTGTGAGTGTGTTGTGTAGGCTGTAAGCTGTTTATTAGCAACTCATGAGCAATGGTTTCAGCGTGTACTTTGTCTTTATGCATATATTGATTCGTGATTATCTGAAAATGCCTTTAGACTAGTGTTACTTGAATCTGGAAACACATGAGAAAAGAGCTAGGGAGTGGGAGGGGCAAGTGGCTCTCTTGGGCAGTAGAAACATGGAGACACAACTTCAGACCATGCCTCGTAGTCTTGGTATTATTTATATGTGCAGTGCTTGGAAAGTAGCAAAGAAAAGTCCTGTCTGATGATATTAATTAATAGTGATGTAAAACTGTCCAAGTAGCAAGAAATGTAGTATTATTTTCACATAAAAGCCATTCAAGACAGAATGCCATGTAGCAGACAGATAACCAGGGTTAACAATGGGAGGAAGTTGTTTTAAATGAGTTGTAATTATTACTTGATACTTCTGAAGGCCCAGAAGAGATTGTCTACCCCAAGGTTAACAGTGATGCCTAGGGGCTGGAGGTGATGGTTGGTTTTTCTGTAGAAGCAAGGAGCTTCTGAGGATAGAGATGTCCATCCCTCTCACTGAAGAAAGACACTTAGATGACCTAGTTTCTAGAATCTTGTTTGCTTGCTGGAAATGTAGACATGAACCATACAGTAAGATATCAAAGGCAACTGTCTTATCGCTTTCTCTCTTTTTCCCAGAAAGGAAAATAAAATAATTCCCTTTTTACTGTTAACTTCTCTGGGACCTTCAGTAGTTTCCTTTCTCTACTGAAATCTAATTCATCTCTTCAGGTAATCATGAGAGGGCTGGAGAGATGGCTCAGCAGTGAAGAGTGTGGGCCACTCTTCCAAAGGACCCAGGTTCAACTCCCAGCACCCACATGGCAGCTCACACCTGTCTGTAATTCCAGCTCCCACACCCTCATACAGATATATATGCAGATAAAACACCAACGGATGCAAAATAAAAACAAATAACTAAGAAAAAGGATACTCACAAGATACAGGTTATAATAAAACGTGTCTCCCAAGAACATAGAGAAGATTGGGCTCCATAGACAGGTGTTTTGCATACCATTGACATGGCTTCTGACTACGTGCTTCTAGACACTTAGTGAAGTAAAGTCTTTTCCAAAAGCCCAGGATGTTCTCAAGTCTTCTAACATCCTCTATCCCACACCTGACCAAAGTACTTGCTCCATTTCCTGAAGCTGGGACAGCAATTAGGCCCATAAAAATGAAGTTCATTAATGAAAACTAATTGAAAATTAATTCACCATGACTCCAGGGAAGAGCTTGCATTTAAAACATTGTGTTGTTAGCAAGTGAGACTGTAATCATCAGAGCATGGCAAAATACTTCAGAATGACACATAGGTTAATGAGGTGGCGGAGCGTCAGAGAAACAAAGGCTTGTAACACTAAAATAACCACCGTACTTAGAACGCTGCCCTGCCCCTTCCTTCTGCCTTCCCTTTCTGTCTCAGCCCACCTTTTTATTTTATTCTCACCCAACAGAGCAGATGTCACACCATTATCCCTTCACCCAGCCATCCTTCCTACAGGAAAAATTCTACGATAATTCTCCCATTTTTGAGGATTAAGTATGATTTCTGCAAGCGCCAATCAATCCACTTTCCAACCCCTTAGGAATCTTACTCTATATATTTTAAACGTGCTCTTACAGAGAACTCAAACTTTCATAGGAGAGAAGAGGGCAACGAGACTCTCTCCCCGGATTCCAACAGTCATTCACCAGAGAGGCACTTTAAGACATTTCAGCAAATACTCAAAGACAAACATTCAGATTCGAGACTTCTGTTCTTGCAAGTTAGATACTGTATCAGAAAAACACTGACTTTTTCTTCTTTATTTTTTATTTTTGTCTCTATTTACTTAAAAATTCTTTAGTGAGATTGAGACATAGCTCATTTGGTGGGCTTTTGCCTAGCAAGTGCAAGGCCTTAGGTTTGAGCCCTCCCACCTGGAAACAAAAAACGTTAAAGGTGTGCAGGCGTGAATGTAAGGGTGATGGGCACTTATTCCTTCTAAATTCACTTACATTTCTTCTCGGACTTTATCGAAAGCACCCTCTGAAGCCTTTTCAATCTGCGAGTTTCTAATTTTTTGTTTGTGTGTATGGATTTAAATCATTGAAATTTTATTGGTTTGATTTCACTTTCAGTGTGATTGTTCTCCATGAATACAATCTTTTTCTTTCTCTTTTTTCTTTCTTTTTTTCTCTTTTTTTTCTTGGTTTTTCAAGATAAGTGTAGCAGCTCTGGCTATCCTGGAACTTGCTTTGTAGACCAAGCTAGGCTTGAACTCACAGAGATCCGCCTGCCTCTGTCTCACGAGTGTGGGGATTAAAGGCATGAGCCACCACACCAGGTAGAAAACAATCTTTTTTTTTCCTTGACATCATTCATAGTTAGGATTGACATAAAAATATAAGTAAGAATCTAAGGAATAGTGACCTTTGCTCTCTACAAGTGTTTACCACCACCACCACCACCACCACCATCACAGTTAGAAAGTGTTGAAAAGAGCCACCACGCACTAAATTCTGTCACGGATGAAAGAAAATGCAGCGGGTTGACCAATGTGGGAGTAGCGAAG